ACAAGTAGGATGAACTTGATAAATGAAATTCAATTCAAAATCATCAATGCCTCTCACTTATGTGTAACATTAATGGAATTAATTTCCACGCCATTACAATAATTGAAGGAAGATTACAGTTTGACATTGAAATCATATTGGAACTCATTTATGCATGCGCATTTTTCATCTCTTCTCCCCATTCTATATATTATTATTTGCTCGATTATTTGTATTTTCTTCTCCAAATATATTCAGATGAACCATTGGAAGTATATTCTAGGTCGGATGACCTTATTACGTTTTTGTTGATCTGAGGAAGAACCCTTTGACAAAACCTGAGATGAAGACTCATAATGAAAGGATAAATATAAATTGTATGAGGATTGTATATGCAACATTCATAGTGTAGGTATGTAGGTACACTCGTCTTCAGTGAACATGTCGCGGTTGGACGGTATGACCGCTCTTATTGCAGCGGTGATTAACAAAGTTGATACCGTCCATGTGCGACATGTTCTCTGAAGACGACTGTACATACCTACCTTTTATTTCACTTCATTCAGACGTAAAACCTTATTTTATTCTGGTTATAAAATAGCCACATAAGTCATCAAACACCAGATACGAAAAGGAAGATAGACAATAGTTATAAAATTTTTAACATTAATTTTTCGTGTTTTTTTGTTAGATTTTTTTTAGGCATGAAAATATACCGCGTAGGTGGGTAGGTATGTAGTTTTTATGTGATATTTAATTAGTTTGGTTGAAGATTCTATAACTTCTGGTTTGGAGAAAAAATGATACTTTCGAGTTAGGCCTGAAAATCGATAAATGGATATATAATTTCAAAAATATCGATGTAAATAAATATCGATAGCTATCGATATATCGATATTTATCGATATATCACTATATCGAACTTTGGAACTTATTGATATTGATACTGATCGATAATTGATATGTGAAATCCAATATCGCGCAGCCCTAGTGAAAAGTACCTACTTGTTGCTGACGAATTCAATAACGGCTCATGGTTGCTCATGGCTCATCTCTCACAATTTTCTTAATTTTCATGGGGTTGCATATCTAGCGTTTTGATTTTCCTCTTATACAACATAGCTACATTAACGCTGCTTCTTCCTGTCAACAAGTCAACATGTCTCAACTATTACCGAACATCATCTGACTTTATGGCCCCTTTGAAGAGAACAATAAAAAATGCGTTTGCGGTTAACGATCGCTCAATTCAGAAATACATCAATTCAACTTCAGTTCTGAGAAGCCGGTAGTAAAACGATGATGGCGCTGGTCTCGTGATCAAAGCAGCTGACGGTTCATTGAATCGAGAATGGCACAGCTCAATCGTTATTGTACAGGGCGACTCAGTTTCTCAATACCAAACTTCTAGAAACTGTTGCTCTCGAGAGAAAACCCAAAATCATCTCCACAACATTTATTAGAATGATCAAAGATCAATCGTAAAGGAACATGTTTCGGGCTTATATAAGTCCATCATCAGCCAGTAGAATGCATCATAGTTCTAGAAAAATCGGTATTGACTTAGGATATAGATGCAAGAATTACTTAGTACTTACATGGAAATGAAAAAAGTAGACATACAAATAGTATAGTTAATAACAGGGCAAACAGGGAAATATGTTCCATGATCTGGAAAACAATGGGTTTAGAAATATTGAGGAACAAAGTGAAAAACGTGAAAAAACTTACTGTCACTATAAAATGATATAAATTTATTGTTATAAGCTTGTCGGTTGAGGGTCGGGTTCATATTTTACAAGGGCCCATAAGTGCCTTGAATTATCAAAAGGGATAACTATCAGAAGTTTATATCAACAGGAAAATCTCGAGGAAAACACATTTATATTTACAACGTTGTTAGCATCTAGCAACTAGATGCGCTACTGCTCAGTGGAATGTGCTTAGATCAGAGCCTATGACAGACGTGTGTGAAGACTGGCTCATACAGTGTTCGGCAGGCAGCCGAGTTAAGAGCAAGTGTAACCCTTGTCCATGTCATTTGTGCTCGTGTTTATCGAATTATGACCATAATATAACAAACGTCAACACCTTGTATCGCCTGTGGAAAATGAACCGTTAAGTATACAGGGTATGTCATGACAAGCTCACACTATCTTTATATCGAGCTTTATATCAAAAATGAGTCAATAGAAATCCATGAAAATGTGCATGCTTATACTTCAGAATACGCTCTTTCCATTTGAAATATTTTCGACAATGCAGTGTTGCCGCTTCTACTAGAAAGTAGTAGCAACATTGATATTTCAAACGGAACACCCTGTATTTTAGATTCTCCCTGAAGAGCATATTTTATTTAGAATTCTGAATTACCAACCACCCTGTATCTGTTCCGATTGAATATCAGTAAATAGTATATCAAAAATTGAGATAGGGACATGTGAGCCGTTTTGGCCGATAATGAATTCGACACAAAAACAAATCCTAAAGTTGAAAAATCTCGATTTTGAAAACTCTATATCTCTGTAATCATTTCCGATATACCCCGAGTTTGATGTATCGATGAATTCAGCTCTTCAGGAAGGATCTAAGATCTAAAAATGCAATGAATTTCAGGGTATTCTATTTGAAATAACAAACTTGTTGCTGCTTTTTGATAGAAGAGGCAACACTGCATTACTGAAATTATTTTAAACATTTTAAATGAAGAGAGAGATAGTGTAAGCTCGACGTGACATATACCCTGTATATATGACATAAGTTCATAGCAACATTCGTTGTTAAAATGAAATCATTTCAGCAAGTTTTTCGCTGAAAAACTGAATAGCCCTGTAAATCAAAATCTATTCGGCGTCGAGCAAAGATTTTTGTTGTTCGGAGAAAGATTCATCCAGTCGGTATATAGTTGAAGTAATACTATCGATTAACTTGATGTATAACTGTTCTAAAAATGGATCTCTAATTGACAAGTAGGAAGACGAAACGTGCAATTTTAATATCGTCTGTGTTCAGAGTTCAGACACATCAGATTTATACACGGCCAATCACAAAAATTCCATAACTGATTTCAAGTTCTAGTAGCCCTTCGAATAGATGAATTATTTTTTCGTCGACCCCTAAAAAAATGATATTTCACGTTAGTACCAATTTCCGAATGAAAAATCGACTATTTTTGAAGGCAAGTTCTTTACGTGCGGAGGCACTTCATTTTTGCTTTTTGTCAAATATTAATTATTCACGAAATCCGATAGATATATTAATTTATGTGGATAAGACAGTGTTGTGAATATAAATGTACGGGGTCGACGAAATAGTTATTTATTATACAAGGGAAAAAAGTAGTAGATTTTAGCTCCAGGTTGTGTTGTCTCCCGACGCGTAGCGGAGGAAGACAAAAAACCGTGAGCTAAAATCTAATAATTTTCCCGTGTATAATACACTATTTTTTTCTGTGACAGAAGAAAGGACGAATCAATATTGAGAAGATATTACATTATTTTGAAATCTGAAAATTATCGACGTGAAATTTCAAGTTTTTAACAGTAGGAACACCTGCGTTGTAGGCATCCTCGAGCATCCTTATCATTCTTTTGAAGTAATCAAATATCTAATGCGATCTAATGTCACTTCTATCAGTCTAATTCTGTGAGTTGATTTCAAAAAATTGCGAATTTAGTGGTTGTTTAGTAATATACGTAACCGCGAAGTCGAGTGGAAGAGAAAAGGTCTTGCAGTTCTTTCTCGGAGACGGTATTATTGACTCATTTTTCGGAACTATAGCACAACAAGAGCCATCAACAGTGTATATACTTGATATATATCCGGGAAAAAAGTACTCATTTCTTTCCCACGGGAAAAAAGTAATTTATGAAAAGTGACATTTTATAACCAGCCAACAGAGATGAAATGCCAAACTTTTTTCCTGTCACAGAAAAAAAAATTTAATATGCACCTCGGCGAAAAACTATACAGGGTGGGCCACCAGTAACGCCTCGGTCTCTAGAAGGCTAACCACTTATCTTCTTGGAATTCTTCCTCTCTAGGAAGTTGCATGTCAACATAGGCTACCATTTGAAATTATTTTGAGACATACAGGATGTCCCCAAAAATCACAAAACACTGAAGTTGAACTTTTTTCAATCGAACACCCTATATATTATTTCATTTTGACATTCTCCCTGGTGAGCTGATTTCAACGACCCATCATACTTGGGGTCTAGCAGTTATAATTACTGAGATATAGGGTGTGAGAAATCGAGATTTTCCAAGTTCAAGAATTTTTTGTGTCTAAACCATTCATATTTGGTCAAAACGGCTCACATGTCCCTATCTCAACTTTTGATCAACTATCTACTGACATTCAATTGAAACAAATACAGGGTGGTGCAGAATTCAGAATCTTGATCACCCGGTATATGTCCCAATTAAATGTCAGTAGATAGTTGATCAAAAGTTGAGATAGGGACATGTAAGCCGTTTTGACCAATTATGAATAGATTCAACACAAAAAATTCTTGAACTTGGAAAATCTCGATTTTTCACACCCTATATTTCAGTAATTATAACTGCTAGACCCCAAGTATGATGGGTCGTTGAAATCAGCTCATCAGGGAGAATCTCAAAATGAAATGATATATAGGGTGTTCGATAAAAAAAAGTTTAACTTCAGTGTTTTATGGTTTTTGGGGACACCCTGTATGTTTCGAAATAATTTTAAATGGTAGCCTATGTTGACATGCAACTTCCTAGAGGGGAAGAATTCCAAGAAGATAAGTGGTTAGCCTTCTAGAGACCGAGGCGTTACTGGTGGCCCACCCTGTATATTGTCTTGCCTGATTGATAGCCTCGGTTGGGCCTCGACTATGAATTTGCAGACTCAACTATAATAGACAGTATTTCGCCCTTGGTACATAAATAACTATACGCGGCAATTGGAAAAAGGTCTCCAGCCGAATATTCCATTCTATATCTGAACAGCAACCCCTATGCCAATAAACTTCAAAATTTGCGATACGCCTAACCTCGTAACACCACCCACATCAACAGCATAATCCTCCCCAGTTCGAGATCACGTACAATGTACAGCACAGCACAACTTCCGAGCTCGAATATTCGATCCTATAAATCCACCAAAACCATCGAGAACAAACATTAAATCAGGCTCGTATTAATAGAAAACCCCGCGCGCACCAGAATAGCGATAAGAGGAGAGAGCATTGCACTTATGCAGCTCAGCGATGCACCGAGCGAAGGACTACGACTACGACTACGGGGGCTTACGACTTACGAGTCACGCTTACGTCTACCGGCTAGACTATGAATGCGTTCGCTTATGGCTAAATGGAGATTGGAGTTGGAGATTGTCTGTATTCCGAATGACAGTTTGGAGAGCGTCGCCAGCGCGACATCGCGTCGACTTGCAACTTGTTATAAATAAACCGCTGGCACAGAATCAGTAAGGAAAGGAAACTCACAGCTGGAAAGGACCTTATAGGAGCTAGCTAGAGTCATGAGGAACTGTATGATGAAAACCTACTACGTATAGGAGCCCCAAAGAAGAATAGCATAACAGTGCGATATCACAAACGTTCCACCGCTGCCCTGTTCAGAGATATGAAAAAAATGTTGAATGAAAAAGTTGTGTCGAACGGCCCAAACTTTTATTTCGTGAAGTTGTTTCATATACTGGGCCATTCGTTTTTACAGAAAGGACAACAACTTCGAATTATTCAATGGAACACCCTGTATGATTTACGACATGACGATAGAGCCTTTTAGTCTGATTTCAAAAATGTATAAGAATTGCATATTTCGATGAAAAAAGGTTGAGTTATTGATGATCAAAATTCACCAAAATACCGCATTATGAACCTTCACTTCGTATCATCTAATGTAAGCTGAATATAGTGGGCTTTGAAATAACGTTTATATATTGTTCAAGCTGCATGGAAATGTCATAGTATTATTTATTGTAAAATTGAAATCGTTCAATCTCAATACGAAAAAATATGAAGACAGTTTCTCAATTATTTTTCATCCAAATATGCAACTCATATATATTTTTGGAAACAGAAAAAAAGTCTCTATCGACATGTCAGAAAATATATATATTATTCCATTGAAAAAAAATCAGAGTTGATGTCCTTTTCGAAAAACAAATGACCCTGTATATAAAGGAACTTCACGAAATACAAATTTGTGTCGTTTCAAACAACTTTTTGATTCCAAATTTGTTCATATCTCTGAAAACAAAAGAGTTAAGAGGTGTTCCATTTGAAGAGGCGCACCCTGTACAGGAGCAAACACATCTGCGATATGCCATTTCTGAGATATAGCGATGAGGCAACACTGCGATATCACGAATGTTGCATCGCTGCGATGTATACATGTGAATTTCGTATTTAGAGAATTTGTCAAAAAGTTTGTCTTGTTGGGTGAGAAAGAATACATGAATATACGTTACTCAACAAGGTGAAGCAAAATTCGCAAACATTCGTTACATTGCTATCAAACTATTGGTTTGCTTACATCTCGCCGACACACACTACATATTTTTTTATACAAATACGAGTAACTGATCTCTTCCTGATGGAGATACGCCGAGAAGACGATTGAATGGACAGAAGACCCAAGAGAACACCAACCAGTCACAACAATGCATAATCAATATTATTAGATGTCATCAGAGGTCAGTAGTGTATTATCACACCATGTTTGAGGGATCTTTTTCACGTCATCTCGCATCACATCTCAAGAACACATCGCTTTTTCATCACAAATAACATATATCGCAATTACATTGCAAACAATATATCGCTGTTATACCGCAGAGAACTTATTTCGGCGACGTCGCATGGATGAAACTTGAGTGGGACAAAATAACATCCCTCTGATATCGTAGCGACGTCTATGTGACATAGAATGCGACATTGCAGGTCACAATTCTAACATGACTGATATATCGATGTGATGTGACTGTGTTTGCTGTACTTTAGAATGAATAAATATCAGAAAAGTTTAGAAATCTCTAGATATCGCCTACATTTTGTAAGAATGACGACGCCAGGGAGAATTCAGAAAAAAATACAGTTTCGAACCACATTTACAAGTTAAGTATTATGACAGTTCAACATAATACTCCTCCCGCTTCATGGTCGGATTATTCCAACTGTTAAGTTAAACTGACACTCTTTGTAATTATGCGACAAGTTATCCATATATAACCCGAATATTTTAAAGTACTTATAGTATTGCTATACTGAATATAAATTTGATTGGTTATACCGCGAGTTATTCCGACAAAACAATAGAAGAGTGGGCCCACTAACGCTTTACTATCTATTAGCTATTGGATTTGTCTCCCTATGAAAACCTTTTGAATTAGAAGAATATCAAGAATTTCAAAAATGTGAATGAAGAGCAATCATATAATATGGCTATGAATCAGGTAATAAGATGCAAGGAATTATTTTTGTGATGTGAAAGTTTCTCTCGTGATCGCCTGCTATTCTGTGCTGTGGTTATGTATGTATCTATTAATTATTAATGGTAATGATCATATTTTCATAATGCTGAATAGCAGGCGTGTCGTCTGATATATTTGTTTGAATTTGATCGCAGTAGACTGGGTTCCTGCTATCGGATTGATATCAGAAGGCACTTCCAGCTACTAAGATCATGATATTGAAGAATATGGAATTTCAAGTTTAAGAGCTCAAATATGATCTTGAAACTGTCTTGAAGAACCAGATACCTACTATGAAATTGAAATTGAAATTGAAATAATTGGCGAAGGTGCAAAGTTGTTCATCGATTTTTGATTTAGTGCAGCTACTAACTGTTGAAACCTTGGTTTAGACATATCTAAATATTTCGAATTCCATTGATGTTTATTTTTATAACTATCTAGTATCAGACACTATCGGAATATAATTGAAGTTGGTTGACCTACTGATTCCCGGGAATATTGGTGGGTAAGTCAATTGAAGTTCTGGTGATATTTTTTTTCATTTTTGGCGAAAGCCACCTCTTTGTAGTTTCCCAGATCAACCAAAATACAGATGCTCAAATCTCTCTGTGTTTCCTTCAACAATCCCTGAGCATTAATGACCATGTTTTATGACATATATATAAACATTCAAGATGACAGTCATAACTAACCCACAAACATTTTGATTTATTTCATAGTTAAACATCTGTAATCCATAAAAGAGGCACTTTTCCTATAATAAAATGATGATGTTTGCAGCGTTTGAACCACGTTCAGCGAAGAGCTTTGACAAAATTGTAGTCAGGCAGCTTATTGCGAAAATATGTTCTTATTTTTGAAAATTTAAATTTTCTCGCCTTCGCCAATTGCAAACAACAACATTTTTTGCATTGTCGATTTCACTTTCTTTACCAATTGAGAAAGCGCTCATTCAATTAACATGCGATATACTAATATCTTCAAGCAAAATTTGATCATCTATTACATCACAAAAAAAGCCGGGAAAATTAGAGGGAACATAGGAATTAGACATTTTGTTACCAAAATTATGAAGATATCAACCGATTTGGACTTTCCAGCATTCATTGATATCAATAGCACTTGTGTGATTGTAAGTAGATATAGTAAGTAATATTACTAGTGTAATGAAAATTACCGGAATTTTTTACTAATAATTCAAAGCTGCGTAATAACGGGTAATTTGTTCTGAACGAATTATATTCAATGAGAAACTTTTATGAATCAAAACAGATCATTTTGTCTCCAAAGTTTACAAAATAATGTATAATTTTGGTGTTTTGGTTATAATTCGAACAATATTGCAGCCATGCAAAAACTTTGATTTCAAGTGTCAGAATGCCTACAATAAATTATTGAGTTCAAAAATTTCCTTGTGGCCTTTTTAGAAAACAAACAAGTCATCCTATCCGCATGGCTGTCGTGAAAAAGTCGACAATAACTGCTCTTCTACACATTTTTGAGTACATATACAAAAAATTTAGTCATAAACAAAGTATTGGCACTATTTGTCGATCTCACTAAAGCATTTGATTGTGTCGACCACGAAATTCTTTCATCTCCTATAGAAGCTTATGGTATTCGCGGTCGAAGCAATCAAGTATTGGGATGTCATCTCAGCGAAAGGAAGCAATTTGTTGACTGCTCAGGGAAACGATCAGATGAATTAGTTGGGGATATTGGTGTTCCACAAGGTGATGTATCGGGCCCTCTCTTATTCATCTTATATATTAATGATATTAATAGTAGCTTAAAAACTTTTTTCACTGCCTTCACAGACGATTCAACTATCTTGTGTAGTAAGTGGTGAAACCCAAATAGAAGCCCTTAGTGCGATCTAAACTGATTTTTATACAGTGATTTTCATCACTTCCAGAACAAAAAACTAAGTTCTAACCAGGAAAAAGCATTCTTTATGCAATTGTATCCTCTATGCAAACTGTTATAATGGAAGCCCCTCGTGAAAGCCCACTTCTGAAATACATTGGTAAATCAATTCAACAATTAACGTGATTCCAACTTTTAGGCATTCACCTACATTTCTATCTAGATTGGAAATCACATGTGTCAGCAGTAAGTAAAAGGTGTGCAAGTAACTCGTTTACATTGAAAAAATTAAAACAATGTTCCAGTCAAGATTTAGTCAAAGTATACTACTTTTCGTTATGGAATCATTTTCTGGGGTAACTCTATCACATCAGACGATACTTTTGTTCTAAAAAAAGGGCAATCAGAAATATGTTTGGGCTATCTTATAACAACAAAATTCTTTCTCAGCCTTGTTTCTATATTTGTAAAGCAAAATATGACAGACTTTGACTTTAGTTTGAAAAAGTTCATGTCAGCTATCAGATCAATATTGATAGCAATTACCTTCTATTCCGTTGAAGAGTACCTTCAGTACTCTTTTTAGAATCGGTAATTGATTTGTTGTGAATGGTGATGAGCGTAATCAAGTATGAACATATATGAGGATGGGTCTCGGGATGGTGATGATAAAAATTGTTAGAAACTTTTATGACTTGTCCTATATCATAACTGTATGAAAATATATAGGTACATTATGATAGATAGATAGATAATTTATTTGTGTTTTGGATGCATTCGTAAGAATACAAATGAGATACGTCACCATATACATATAGGTCACGAATATTACAGAAACCAAGTAGCTATAAACTAGAGATTTACAGATGAAGTAAAAGTTTAAATCTAAAAAAAAGTCTGTACATACAAACATACAAAGATAATATGAAAAGGCTACGATAACAACTGTATAAAAAGTAATGTATATAAAAATAATATATGAGAAATTTATTTTGTTTGAATGTTAGGGAAGCTATATATTCCCCAGTAGTATAATATACATTGGAGGTCAAAAAATGTGAATGCATGT